GCAAATATTTGATTTCACGCAAAAAGCGTCTATGTATCTGTTGATACGTATTTCGACCTAATAGGTCTCATCAGAACAGTTATTTATAGGTGTTCTCAACGTGAAAAATCAATATTTCTGTCTTTTAAAAAGCAACACTAAAATGGCTTCGATATGGACGCAATAGCGACATCTGATAATAAATCCGTAAATAGTTTCGAAACTTTTTTTACGGATTTATCATTTTATTGTTTTAATTTTGTTAATTAATATTTTTTTACTTTATAAAGAAATTATCTATAATTTATCCGTCATAATTCTTTTTAGTAAAAGGCTGTAAACCATGTAATTTACTATGTCCTTCTATACACATTTTTTGTAGTTAGAACATAATAGTTAGATAAAATCTTTTAACCTTAGGTTCTTATCAAATAGTTATATTATCCTAGACATTTTTCGTAGTAAAAGTATGCAAGTAGTCAAGGTAAAACAAATTTATCAGATTACGTCGTTCAACAAATTTATACACTTTCCATGAACATTTTTCTTGCGATAAAAGATTAATATACCCCTTGACGCCTTCTTGTGCAGTAGTTCCATGACGCTCGCCACAGAATTTTACTATACGTGAATTATCCATAAATAGGTAAATTTAGACATATAGTTTATAAAATAATAAACAGAAATAACTCCCTCTGATCGTGGTGATCATACCGGAAAGACGCTTTCGCTCTTCTCTCTTCCTAGGTATTCGTCAGTCGCATGTTTTCGCACCTCTCTCTGATTTTTTATTCCTTTAGCAATTAGATAAAATACCGCCAATAATTCTCTGCTGTTAAATCGCATAGACAACAGACGCATTGTGCTCAGCTCTCCGATCTTAGTGTTCGTGCCTGATAAACGTGATAGTTTGATATTTTAGTTAACAGAAAACAGTACCGCAAGACACGAGTTAAAACCTGCTTATCTGAATACCGCGAATTTGTGTGATATTGATTTTTTTCTTTTTTAAAAGCTTTTTTATAAACTTCATTTGAATATTGTCTGTATAAGATGTATTACTTCCCCTAACTATTTTAAACCAGCTCTATTTAATACAGTTCTCATACTCTGAAATTATATTAATAATTTCACATAATATGTATATGACTTTTTGTACAATGTTAACAGTACTCTTACAGTGTGTTTATTTTGTTTCAGGTAAGCTACTTAATATATCTTTACAGCAATGTAAGTATGTCTAAATTTTTATAAATTTTATTATGGTACTAAAACAAATTTTCAACCCTTAGAATCAACCGCGTATGACGTAAATAAAGTTAAAAATTATTGTTTACTATATAAGATAATTAACTTATGAATTAACATGATTTCGTTGGTTTTAAGTTATTAACCTCTAGAAAGCATCCATTTATGCAAAGAATACAATATTCGAAAAGTCTATCTTTTACGAGCTATAATTTACTCAATTTACATACAAATGACTTTGATCGCTACTCATTTTAAAGGTTTTTTCATAAACTATAAAAACTTAAAATCATCACCCCCCGACAATTCAATTCTTTTCTTACAATTGAATGTTGAATATATTGATCTAAGTATTCACAAAAAAATGTCTCCTTTCCGACCATATCTCACTTATTACTTACAAATTATTCTCATTGTTCTTTTATAATCAAATTTTTGTATTGCATACTTTTTCGATCAAAGGTATATTTTTGAGTTATTCATGAAAACCCGTTAAAAAACGTGACTTTTTCAATGAAAATTCGCGTGAATGGCTTAAACAGTAATGACTTTCTGAAAAAACATAAAACAAAAAGATGGTTAAAATTTAATCGTATATTAATTTCCGTAATTATTTTGAGCAAAAGAATTTCCAACCTCGAGGACAGGTGGCAACCATCCCTAAGGAGGATACACACATTGGCGTTATATTACTTTTGTTATTTGAGCACTTTCTCATCAACTCACCAAATTTCAAGTGAATCGGTACAGTCTGACAAAATTGGAAGATGAATAGCCCGAGTGACTGGAATACACGGGAAGTACTCATAGAACTGATTAAATTTGGATCTCACAAAATATTTCAGCTACAGGCTTATTCATAGAACGGAGGCTTGAAATGCTTAAGATCAAACTTAGGAAAGCCTATAATAATCTCATTGAAGGATAAAGATGGAAAAGAAATAACAGGAAATAACGAAATCTTAAAAGTAACCCAAACATTGCAAAGAAAGATCTTAAGAGAAAGATAACAAATGTCAACTCAGAAATACTCAGAAATGTCAACATAAAAGCCTTCAAAATAAAACAAGCTATGGTACAACTAAAGAACAGTAAGGCTCTGGACCCAGATGGAATACTTGTAGAAATGTTGAAGGAGGGGAGGAATTGAAAAATTCTTCTTTTCAACGAATGTCTTCACAAAGGAGAAGTCCCAGATGATTAGATAAAAACAAAAATAATGACAAATACACCGAACATTAGAGAAATAACGTTGAACGGCATAAATTTAGAAACAGTAAGCGAATACATCTACCTGGGACACATAATGAAAGTTAACAAAGAAAATCAAACTGCCGAAATTACCAGAAGAATAAGGTTAACGTGGGCAGGACTTGGAAAACTGAGTTGGATCTTAAAAAGCACTAAAATAGAACAATTTTTGAAAATCAGAATTTACGATCAGTATTCGCTCCGTGCGTGACTGACGCGACACCTACCGCCTTCATCTGACAATTTTGGAGTCCCAATTTTCAGGTTAAACATATGACATATGTTTGACATTGATAAATACATGCGAAATTGACAATTATTATTAAATTAGTTTTTTTAACTATATTTTTTCAGTTTATGTACAAAATAAATGTAGTATTAAAAACTGGGTTTCTCAAAATTCATCATAATATATCTTTTCAACTCCAAACGGAAAAGAAAGGGAAAAATCTAGTACTGGCAAATCAAGTTTTTCACACAAAAGAGCATATAATTAAAAACAATAATAGTAAAAGTTATGATATTAAAGCTAAAGTCATCTGCAGTTAGCTTGAAGCCTTATGAAATATAATTCAAGGCAAATTATTTAAATTTTCCTATTTCAATTGCATAAAAATGAAATTATGTGATTTTTACTTTTTCATTTTAATAGCACGAATTCATCTTTTTCTTTTCTCTAATTTATAAGTAATCTTTGGGAACCTATAAAAACTACACTCACTGTTTTTGCTATTATTATCACAATTAAATACGCAACATGTATTTGCACACATTTTTGATAAAATTTATGCGTAAAATATTTTGTCCAATATTCCAATGTTGTCATATTTCGCCGCTACGCACGCTGGCATCGTTTCAATGTACCCCTACCATGGTCACGCACGGAGCGAATATATTCCCTACAAAGGAAAACATTGAAAAAATAGCAAAGACCCAAAGAGCATGGAAAGGCAAATATTGAACATCGGGCTGTCAGACAAGAAAAGAAATATTGGATCCGCAACAAAACAAAAATGACCGATGTATCAAGGCAGATAGCAAAACTTAAGTGGAAGTTCGCTTGACATACCCTAAAACAGAAAGACGACAGATGGAATAAGATGATTATACACTGGAGACCATATAGTTACAAACGAAAAAGAGGGAGACCACAAATGAGATGGTCAGATGACTTGAAGAAACACGCAGGCCAGAAGTGGATACAAACTGCCTACAATATAGAGACGTTTAAGACGGAAGAGGAGGCCTATGTCCAAAATTGAACAGCAAGGGCTAAAATGGAGCTTCGCAGGACACAATGTCCGACTGAAGGATAAAAGATGAAACCACAAAATACAACAATGAAAATATCTAAAAAATTAATAACTTTTTCTGAAATTTCCATTTTCTGATTTTCTGAACCTTTAAATCGTCTTGAAAAGAAATATTGTACATCATAACAATATTTCTAATCTAATATACTTTATTACATAACAACAAATCGTAAGATACCTACAAACCTCGTGGCTATAATCGTCTAATTAAATTCCTGTGTAGCTCGAATAATCCTAAGAATAATTGGCCCAAAAAGCGAGCCTCCACTAAATTCATTAAAACATACCTACGTATCATAAAAGACGAACGAAAGGGGGAAAAGTGATAGCCGGCAAACAGTAAACAATAAATTAAAAAGCTAGTTTAATGAAGAGATCCCCGAGAGATGCTGAGAACAGAACAGGATTGTATTCCAATTTAGTGCATAACAAACTAATTGTTATTTATGACACCCAATACTAATATTTCATTTGTATCATGGGTGTACCGAGGTACCAACGTCTCAATCATACAAAGAACGAGGTGCCAGCTTTGTTAGGCTTTGGATATTTTATGCAAATTGCTTACGTTTCACTTTTAACGTATTTGTTCACTATGTCTAACATTGCAAGCATTTTAATTAGATAGCAAATGCTAATAGTTACAAAGTAATTGGCAGAAAAAGTATCTTTTACTTAAACGTGTCAAATTGTCGGAATAAAAAACAATTTAGAATCATTTCTTTGAAACTATTATATTTTTAACCCTAGATTACCGGATGTGTCGGTTACAGATCAGTATTTTAGGACTTAGGTACTTAGGACAAATGTAGAAATCTCCTGGAGACACTAAAGACCATATTATACGAAATCAAATAGAGTATATAACCATAAACAACAGATATAAAAACACAATCGAATCTGTGAAAACGTATCCAGGAGCAGATAAATGGTCAGACCACAATCCTGTAGTGGCACAATTCCGAATAAAACTTAAAAGAGTACTAACACCTAAGCTCAAACAAGTAATAGATATCAATCGTTTAAATGATGAAACAATTAAACATCAGGTAGAAACAAGCATTCAGGCAAATCTTGAAAAAACGTGAAAAGATAGAAAAAATACCATAACTAGACATTAATAAACACTGGGCCATTATTAAAAAGAACTTGCTGAAACCCGCTAAAAATATTTTTAAGAGAGAAAAACCAAAGAAACAGAAAAAATGGATGAGTGACGAAATTTTGTTATTGGTGAATTCATTACACTTCAGGCCACCCTCGTTTCACCCAATAATCCCAACTTTAGCGAAAGATCCAGAAGAGCCACCGAACGGAGAGTGGAAGATATATTCTACTACCCTCAGGCACTTGACGGACCACATCCTCATCCGATGATGGCGCCAGTGACTGAGGAAACCGTCAGTCAGATGTGAAAAATAGGAAAAAACACGTCTCCTGGCCCAGATGGCATCTATAGAAGATGCCTCAAAAATCTTCTACAGAATATTATCCCGTTGCTCACCAATATAATCAATGCATCTCTTGCGCTGAGCTACTTTCCTATTCCTTGGAAAGTGGCCAGCACCGTCATGGTCCCTAAAAAGGGAAAACCCTCACCAACCCTGAATCGTAAATAAAGTCTACGAGAGGATCCTCAAGGAGAGACTCGTAGAATTCCTAGACGCTCACTTCCTCATTCCAAATTACCAATTCGGATTCAGGGCTGGACACTCCACACAAAATGCATTGGTTAAAGCAACAACTTTCATTTCTCAATCCATTAACGAAAGGAAGCACGTCGTAGGCATATTCCTCGATGTCCAGAAGGCTTTCGATCAGGTCTGGCACGCAGGCTTGATCGAGAAACTTCACCTTGCTGGACTGCCAACACCTTTCGTTAAACTAATAAATTCCTATCTCTCTCACCGGACGGTTCGGATCAAAATAGGAGAGCATCTCTCCACTCCATTCACTCCTCAAGCAGAAGTACCCCAAGGCTCAATACTTGCTCCAATATTATACACAGTTTACAATAGCGACATCCCCCGCCCACAGCAAGGATCAGAGTCTCGTCTCCTATTCACTGATGATACAGCTATTCTCACCTCAGGCTCCTACAGGGAAGGAGAGCGACGGTCTGTATTCGAGAAATCGCAAGATTATCTTGATAGAGTCGTGAGGTGGTGCAACAAATGGAGGGTTACTTTAAACCACTCCAAAACACAAGCAATTTTATTTAGACCCCCGTACGGACGCGGCCTTCAGGGCCGGGTGACACTTTTGGGAGAGGACCTTATTCTCAGGAACTCAGTTCTCTACTTGGGAGTTCGTTTTACGAGAACTCTCAATTGGAAGGCTGACGTCCAAGATTCCCTTGACAGAATGAGAAAAAGGCTCAACCTCCTGAAAGTGTTGGCCGGTAAACTAGGAGGAACGTCCTCTAACACATTGTTGCACACCTACAAGACTTTCATCAGACCGATAATCGAATACAAGGCATGCGTTTACCTCTCCCTGAGGAACCACGAACTCAATGCCATCACCGCCACAGAGCGTAGAATTCTACACTTCTGCATGAGAAAAGATTGGCTGTATCCATCGGCCCACATATATGCAATAACCAACATCACGCCTATCAAGGACAGAATCCTAACCCTCAGTAGGAAGTATGTCTTAAGAACCATAGCTGTCTCGAACAACCGAGCAAAACAAACATTGAAGACACCTTGTTCACATAGAGGGCAAATACTCACCAGGCATCCCGCCAAAAAAGTTCCATTCCCTCCAGCTAAGCTTCTACACAACGCTGGACCTGAACTTCCTGAGGAGTATTTTGATATTTTAGAATCTTTAGGCAATATACTTATGTGGGAATAGGCAATCCCACTTCTTCTTGTGCGTTCACGATTCTTATCGATCACAAACTAAGCCACCTTCTTTTCCCCTTCTTTCCTTAGCAGTTCTCCGCTTCTTAGGCTGCGTTTCGTTCAGTTGACATTTTTCTCGTAACCCCCACAACTCCGTCAAAAAAAAAGAAGTTCCCCGTTCCTTGAAGAGGCGTAAGCCTAAACAAGGTTAAAACTCGGGGTTAGTTAGTTAGATGAATTTTCGAAGACTATCGAAAGGTAAAAATGAAGAACAGTATAAGCAAATTAACACAGAGATCAAAAAAAAATCCGCGACGCTAAAAAACAATGGTTACAAGACAAATGTAAGGAGATTGAAAACTTGGTAGCCAAATATGATTTGTTCTATCTTCACAAGAAAGTTAAAAAAATGATCAACAATAGAAACAGAAAGCAAACAGTACTTATAGACCAACAAGCATGATAATGGGAACAGAGGAGAAACTAAAACATTGGCAGACATACATTGAAGAACTGTTTGACGATCAAAGGCAGCTTTCTTGTGATAATTTTCCAGAGGAGACAGGTCCAGAAATAAGCAAAGAAGAAGTAATGCAAGCGGTGAAGTCATTAAAGAATAGCAAAGCTCCAGGACCAGATGAGCTACCAGTGGATATATTAAAGTTGATAGACGAAGATCGAGTCCATTTGTTAGTAGACTTATTTAACAAGATTTATGAAAACAGTATAATTCCTGAAGAATTGTTAAGATCAACCTTTGTCCCTCATCCCAAGAAGGCACATGCTAAGCAGTGCAATGATCATCGCACGATCAGCCTGATGAGCCACACCTTACAAATATTCCTCAAAATAATTCACAATAGAATTTACAGAAAATTGGAAGAAGATATCGGGCAGTTTGAATTCTTGGAGGGATGTGGAACTTGTGAAGTATTATTTGCCTTTAACAGCTTGACACAGAGGTGTTTGGATGTGAATTAAGATGTGCTTGTTTCGTTCAATACAACAAGGCGTTTGATAACCTCAAGCATGACCAACTTTTAGATATTTTGAAAGCTAAACAGCCTTCCATGATTTTCAACAAAATCTTTTCCCAATCCTTCTGAACAATTTTTTTATTTCCAGTTCTATTAACATCAGTGTTTTTCTTGAGTCTCGTTATTTGTGAACCGAAATTAAGCTCCATTGTTTTTTCATGGCTTCAAGTGCTTTTGATTTTGATAGTCGGAAAGCTGGTATTTGTGACTTGGACAAAAGTATAGAGAAAATCATGTAACTATGCACAAATCTCATTTGGAATTCGCAACCTTTATTACTTTCGTCTTCACTGCTTTCACTCATTTTAACAACAAGACAATACGATAACTAATTCCTTAAATAAAAGGCAATGCAAGATTATGCTAAATGCAATTAAAACTGACACATTTAAATAATAAATAGAGTATCTACTCGTACGTCCTGTGAGCAGAAACTCATTACATCAAAATGTTTTTGTTCATATGAAATCTGAGTACAAGCTTTTACTTTATGCTCATACTTATGAGAAAATACTCGTAGTTTATATTCCGTTTTCATTTATACCACTTCCTATCACCGGGACTATTCCGAGCATTTAGTTCTCGGGATATTATACAATACCATTGCTTATTTATTTGCAAGCAGTGTATTTCAATGTATATATAAACCAAATCATTTCAATATCTATTATAAATTGTAGTTCTTTATTTGGAGTATGTAGTCAGTGTAAATGTACACTTTTAATAGTTTTTTGATTTTGCGGATATTTAGTTATTTGAACTCCGTTTTCAGAAATAAAAATTATAGTATTATATTTGCTAAACGACCAAATTTATTGAAATTGGGATCCATTGGAGCAACGATCAATTTAGTGTTATTAATTTTATTAAGAAAACTATAATATTTCAAGCAGTAAAAAATATTGATACGATTTAGAAAATCTCCTTACAGGAAATATTCTTCCAGTAGTTGTAGCGTTTATTAGATTACAAATCCATTACAAGCTTTACGACATAAGAGGATCCAGTAAGTACTCACGAAGAATATCGTGTCGGATGCCGGCAATCGGAGGCGCAAACGGTAGTCGATGACGTAGGTGTTAACAACAACACGAACCAAATCTGAGAATCAGCTGATGATCGCAAAGAGAGTGACGAATATGCGAAGAACTCATAAATATCCAAAGTCCACGCAATAGCGTGAGCCATAAGCAGACTGAAAACATTCGAGCATCACGGTTGCAATGTAACACGCAATCAAAACACACAACCACACTCAACTTGGTGTGATGTGGTGGAATGTTCATCAGGTGAGAGGAAATTTTCGTGAATGCAATTTCATGCACTTTTTGAGACATGGCTTGTCCCGTTAACCTCAAAAGTACATAAACAATGTGTTGCATATACAACGGGACAGACTGAACACATTTTGCAGTTTGCCAATAAGTTCGTTTTGCAAGGAGTAGTTTTAAAAACTTTTTTAAGTGCTAGCTAGATTTTCTTTTAAAATATATTAGATAGATTATTAAACTTTATTATCTTGATAATATAAAACAGAAAACTTTTTTTTATTTAAAACACTTATTCTACATCAATCACGCAGGGTTATTAGTGGAATGACAAACACAACAGTTTTAATACAATTATGTAAGCGCAGGTCAAATGTGGAAAAGACAAACAGAAGACAAACTGAGACAAATGGAAACAAATGGAAGAGGCCTATTTTTAACACATGAATAGATTTTTGGTCATAGATAGATAGACATTAAATAGTTTAATATAATTTTATATCTAGAGTGGTAACGACTACAACTACAACTATTCTCCAGACGCTAAGAAAAGACAAAGAAATAATTAACACCGTAAAGAACAGACAATTAGCTTACTTCGGCCACATTATGTGTAATTATAAATACCGATTATATATTGGTATATAGAAGATTCAGAAACAGTTTTAAATCTGTCAAAACATATCCAGGAGCGGACATTGAATCTGACCACATACCTTCAGTGGGAGTCATGGATGTGAGACTGAAGACAATAAAGAAAAAATCTAGACCTAACTACGACCTAACTGCAACATCCGGAAGTTAAAAAGCAAGTGGGGGAATATATTAACAACCAAGTTAAACAACTAAAAGAAGAAAATAACATCCAACGAGAAATCAATCAATTCCAAGAAATAATTAAGAAAACTAAACAAGATCTGCTAAAACCAAACAAAGAAACAAAGAAGAAATCTTGGATGACTCCAGAAATCCTTCACTTAATGGAACGCAGAAGGTTAATTAAAGGAAATAAAGATGAGTATAAAAAAATGCAGGCTTATATCAGAAGAAAAATAAGCGAAGCTAAAGAAAAAGAAGCTGTAGAGAAATGTACAGAAATAGAAAGACTACAAGACAAGCATGACAATTTTAATGTACACAAAAAGGTCAAAGAAATAACGTGTACTTTTAAAAAGCGAACACAAATGAAACTCATAGACACCAATGGAAAATTAATCACTGACACCCACGAGATGAAAGACAAATGGAGAATATATTTGGAGACACTTTTTCAAGATCAAAGAACGGATTACAGGCATCCATTTTCAGAGAGGATAACGGGCCCTGACATACTTAAATCCGAGGTAGAAGAAGCAATAAAACGGATGAAAAGCAGGAAGGAGTAGGGCCTGATAATATCGAAGCTGAATTTTTAAAACTCTTGGAGGAAGAAGAAATAATTTGGATCACGGCTATCTTCAATAAAATGTACAATACAGGAATCATCCCTGATAAATGGCCACAATCAGAATTCATAGCGATACCTAAAAAACAGGGGGCTAAAAAGTGCGAAGAATATCGATCAATCAGCCTAATGAGCCATATGTTGAAAACTCTTTCTTAGAGTCATCCATGGAAGAATTTATAAAAAGTGCGAGGAACAAATATCGGACAGACAGTTCGGCTTCATTAACGCAGTGGGTACCAGAGAGGCACTTTTCGGAGTACAGGTACTGATTCAAAGATGCAGGGACGTTAACTGCGACGTATACGCGTGCTTTATCGACTATGAAAAGGCATTTGACAGAGTTCAACATCAAAAGATGATAAACATTTTAAAAGAGGCAGACCTGGATGACAAAGACCTCAGAATAATTTCAGAACTCTACTGGAATCAGACCGCATACATGAAAATTAACGGAGAAGAAACAGATCACATAAAAAATACTACGTGGAGTTAGACAGGGATGTATCCTATCGCCGTTGATATTTAATATGTACTCAGAGAAAATTTTTAACAAGGCTCTTTACGGAATAGACGAAGGCATCCTTCTAAATGGTGAAAGAGTAAACAATGTTAGATATGCCGACGACACCATGGTGATAGCAGATAGTTTAGAGGGACTTCAGAGGCTAATGGACAGAATAAACGAGTACAGTCAACAGTACGGACTAAACATTAATACCCACAAAACGAAACAAATGATTATCAGCAAGGAGAATATAAACGGGGCTCATCTATACATTAATGGGACGCAGATAGAGCGAGTAAAACAGTATTGTTACCTGGGAACTATTATTAACGAACAGTAGAGCAATTTACAGGAAATAAAGTGCCGCATAGGAAAGGCAAGAATGGTCTTTAACAAAATGAGCGCCATCTTCAAAAGTCATAACATATCCCTTGATACAAAAATGAGACATTGGAGATGCTATGTTTTCTCTGTGTTGTTGTACGGGGCGGAGGAATGGACGCTTACAGACACCACTATTAAAAAACTTGAAGCATTTGAGATGTGGCTTTATAGAAGAATGCTGAGAATATCATGGACAGCAAGGATCACGAACAAGGAAGTTCTAGTAAAAATGAAGAAGGAACCAGAGATTGTGTTTACGATCAAACGCATAAAATTGCAATATCTGGGACACGTTATGAGAAATCAGCACCGTTACTCCCTGCTACAGTCTATATTGCAAGGTAGAGTCAAAGGTAAGCGAGGACCCGGTAGAAGGAGAATATCATGGCTGCTGAATTTAAGAACATGGTTTAAGAAAACCTCAACGGAGCTGTTTCGAGCCGCAGCGAGCAAGGTTTGCCAATATGATTTCCAACATCCGAAACGGATAGGAACCAGAAGAAGAAATAAATACCGACTTTTATAGTTGATTCTACAAGACATGATTGGGAGTAAGAGAGACCCTGGACGTAAGCGTATATCCTGGCTGGATAATCTTAGAAAGTGGACTGATCTGACGTCAACTGATTTATTTCGAGCTGCTTTGAATAGAATAAGATGGGTCAGTGTGGTCGGTGATCGCCAACATGTCTAGAAGATAGGCATGAGTTGTTATTTGTGAGTTGCTCCATATCCGTGGATCAGATCCTGGCCATGATGCGTCTACGCTTGTAAACCACTCATCTGTATTGCAAGTGGCTTGAACGTTGATACTGTGATATCCTTTACGATTAATACATTCATCACCATAAAGCGATTGTCTGTTTATTTGTATGTGAGTGCAACCCTCACACCCACGGCACACGAAAAAGTGTACATTGTTTGCCATCTTTCTTTAATTTCTATTATATTCACCGGAATGTGAGGAAATGTTATCCAACGTGCGCATTTTTTTATTATCTGGTCAGCAACTTGCGACACAATACAGCAGTTTGATGAATACCAATAGCTTCTACCACGTCTGTTTGAAACCCCGGATCACCTACATATAAAAGTTACATAAAGCCCCACCTCCTGTTTCTTCACTCAAAAAGTTATTTGAAAGCCACTTTCAGCCACTTTTAAAGTGATCACACGTACTTCTTTTTGGTTTATAATATTTTTTGAACACAAATTAAACATAAACTCAGCCATAGCTTTGGCACAATGAAACTATTAGACTGCAAATTTATGGAGTAGATTCTAATCCTAGGACCTACATTAAAATGTATTAAATTAAATTCTAATTAAATTTGGTACTAAATTAAAGTGAAATTGCTTACTTTTGCACGACTTCCTGATGATGGTGTGATAAGATCGAAAACGTCTTGAATATTATAGTTCC